CTTTCCTGGGTTTCCTTTGTGCCTAGGGTAATATCTAAAATCCGGTCCATGGCCTGTGTGCCTGACATAGCCTTCATTTCCAATTTCAGCCCCCACTGGTCTTCTCCCTCATACAGGAAGGCCTTCTGTAATTCCTGAAAAGTGTGGCACTCTTGCTTGGCCAGAGCCTCCCCAGTGCCCTCTCCTCAGCATCCTCCACAAGTTTTAATTAAAGAACAGATAATCTCATTTCCTATTCTCACTAATTTCTTCAGAGTTTCTGATTTGTAAAAAGAAGGGACTTTGCTAGGAGTAGATCCATGGCTCTCTCTAGTTTTTAATGCATTTAATAAGTCTCTTTTGTTTTTTCTTTTTTTCCTTGTCACTTTTTTTGTTGTTGTTGTTTTGTTTTTTTTAGCTGAGCCATCCTGCCACCTGTTGGCAGCTCAGCGGCAGCTCAGCTTGGGCCGGGACTCAAACCACTGTTGCTCAGAGCTCACACTCTTGAGTGAGTTCTTAACCAACTGAGCCATTCAGCCGGCCCCTCCTTGTCACTTTTTAAAACACCTTTATTGAAATATAATTTATGCACCATTAAATTCACCCATTGTATGTATACAAGTCAATATATAAACTTTTAGAGCCATCCCCACAATCTAAAATTTCTTCATGCTCATTTGTAGTTAACCCCCTGCTCCCATCTCCAGCCCTAGGCAACCACTTATCTGCTCTCTATCTCAATAAACTTGCATCTTCTAGACATTTCATATAAATAGAATCATACAGTATCTACTCTTTTTGCATCTATCTGGCTTCTTTCAGGCAGTTTGATGATCTTGAGGTCCATTCCTACTCTAGCATGAATTAGTACTTCATTCCTCTGACAGCTGAGTGGATCATGCTTTTGTTGTCATTACTCTAAAGCAGGGGTGTCAAACTGGCAGCCCGCGGGCCGCATGCGGCCCTTGAGGTAATTTTTTGTGGCCCACGATGCTCTGAAATAAAATGAAAATAGAAAAAATTGTTATGAAGAAAATAGCGCTTAGGGGAGATCGAGGCAATACCATACACACAATTCCCTCGTTAACCCTTTAACTACTGGATGAGTATACAAAAAATTACCTCGAGAGCCGCATGCAGCCTGCGGNGGAAGACATTTTGATGACATTCAGGACATCAAGGGTCATACGACGACAACTCTGATGGCCATTCCAGAAAAAGAGTTCCAAAATTGCTCTGAAGGGTGGACTAGGCACTGGCGTCAGTGCATAGCTTCCCAAGGGGAGTACTTCGAAGGTGACCATAGTGGTATTCAGCAATGAGGAATGTAGCACTTTTTCTAGGCTGAGTTCATGGAACTTAATTGTCAGAATTCATATAGGAGATATAGGAGATAAAGTTCAATTTCTCTGTGAATTTACAATATGGCCAGGGTGATCAAGATGTTCTTAAATAACCCTATGATGAGATACAATATGATGTTAAAAGATTATTTCTTTCTGTTGCTATCTCTATGACCCATGATTCTCATGAAAGCGGGAGTTGGTGAATTTACATGCACAGTAAATAAGTAATGCTTCATGGACTTAAGGATGATGGCCATCGTCCAGCAGCTTTCTTACCTATAGTACTAATATTCTTTCTTCTGTTGCCTTTGCTCCTTAATGTGGGGGATGTCTCAGGCCAAGGAATAATTCAGTACTGCCTGGTGTCCTTGTTGGGGGGTCAGGCTCCTTCTTGTCACTGACTTCTCACATTCAGGAAGCTGATGAGTTCTAGTCTAAACTGGACCCTTCCCCAAGCTGCTAAGCAGTAGGCAGGGGCCCATGTTAGCTCTGTCCACACAGAGACCTCTGGGTGGGCGGGCCTGGAGAGCAGTGGAGGGAGTTGCCACCTGGATGGGGAGGAGAGAGCCGGTGATGAGAGAGGATGGAGGCGGGGCTGGGCTCCACAGATGTCCTGGCTCTTGTTCTACAGCTGTGGCTTCTGCAGCTGGATGAGGCCTGTGAGACATTACCCTCGCTAACATTTCTCAGGGGCATCACATCAGACCCCCTCAAATCAATCTCATTCAGCTAGCATTAGTTTTCCTTGATTTTAAAATCTACCACATGACTCCACTCCCAGGCCCAGATGTGGCTCAGTGAGCATATAAGTAAGACACACGCAGAGGGTCTTCTCACCCTCTGGCCATCTGTCTGCTGTCTATGCACTTAGTAAATACGATTTTCAAATTAGTTTCCCCATTTACCGATGCCTTGGCAGGCTTCCTTACTACCTTTGAGTGTCCAGGTAGGATCGAAGTTTTGTGAAGTTTTTCTTTGATCTTCCTTGGGGCCACATAGCCTCGGCTTCTTTCCTTCAAGCACAGAGTTTCCCAAGTCTTCTTTCTCTTTCTCTCAGATTTAGATCCCCCTTCTGGGTGTTTTCTTATAAACAGCCTTGTGCTTTTCCTCTTGAGGCTATGGATACCAGAGCCTATATTCATCTGCTTTTGTGGTCATTCCTGGGAAAAACACCACACTAGGACAGAGACTGCAATTTCCCTCAATTTATTGAGTTTCAGATGGTCAGACTCTCAATTAAAACATTTTTTCCAGCTTACACGCTGCCCATCTGAGCCCAGTTGTATTTATTTTCTAATTTCCTCCTTCCCAAGGGAGTAAGGGAAGTGGGTTCATTTTTCCAGTTTTCTCAACAGGCCCTGCTGAAAAGAGGGATTGTGGAGCTGCTCTTGACCTCAGATTCTGCAAAAGAAGTGCTAAGAGGCTCCATAAAAGGAGGTACAGATTTAGACTCATTTTAAGGAAAAACTGAGGCTTGTTTTAAAAAAATAATTTTATTGGGGAATTGGGGAAGGGGAACAGTGTTGGGGAATTGGGGAAGGGGAACAGCCAAGTTATTATTCTTCAATCTTTGTTGTGGAGAGTGCAGCTAGCTCAGCTCCAAGTCCAGTCGCCATCGAGCTGAGCTCGCGGCAACTCAGCTCAAGGTGCTGTGTTCAATAGCTGTGGGGGGCGCAGCCCTCCATCCCATGTGGGAGTTGAACTGGCAACCTTGTTGTTAAGAGCACATGCTCTCACCGGCTGAGCTATCCGGCTGCTCGTTGGTGGCTCAGTGGCAGCTCAGTTTGGGTGCAGCTCACTGGCCTATGTAGGAATTGCTCAGAGCGTGAGCTCTTAACCAACTGAACCACTCAGCTGGCCCAGAACTGAGGCTCTTAACCCAC